TGCCTCCTTCCCAGGTGCTGGCAGCAGGCTCCCAAGCCAGGCTTATCCCAGAATAGAGTTCTCCTTGTGTGACTGTCTTTCAGGCTCCATCTGGGTTCGTTCCTCTCAGTTGTGCCCCAACCGTGTGGGTCTGATGTTCAGAAGATTGCTGGGGAAGAAGGTGTTCGGTCAGCCCAGGACTCACCATTGACCTCCTGGGAGGTCTTTCCTGGCCTTTTCTGGTTGCAACTTTGTCCCACAGCTGAATCAGGGTGGGCAGTAAGGTGCCTGAGACTCCACAGTCATCCTGTCCCTCCGAAGTTTGTGCTTCCATGATATTTTCTCTGGGTCACAGTCAACTCCTGAGGAGTTAACCTGCTGGTCACAGAGAGTGGGTCTGTTGTTCCATGGTGAACAAGCCAGAGCTCTACCCTGCCCAGTTTTCAAGATCAAGGTGGGGTGCCTGTTTCATCTTCTCCAGTGGGACTCTGCCTCTGGCTCTTTTGCTGCATTCCCTCTGAAGCCCTCATTGCCAGTGTCCAGCCTGGCGCTGCTGTGGTCGGGCAGTCTGGCAATGGCCGTTGCTCCCAACAGTTTCTCCCTGGAAAGAGATGTGTTGATTTTAGAAAATGGCACTTAGTTTCTGTGTCCCAAGAGGCGCTAGGGTCCAAACAGAGCAGCTGTCAGCACTAGCTGCTTCACCAGGAGAGCCTAGGCCACTTGTTGCTGAGCCCCCCACTCAGTCAGGCACTCACATGCCCACTTACAAATAGATGCACATGAAAATTTATTCATACACTCGCTCACACACAGGGACTCACACAGTCCAACTGGCTCCACTGTCATCTTTTTTTTCCTTCCCAAAATTGTTGTGTTTTTAAATTCATCTTTATTGTTCCCTTAAAGCTATATTAGTATATCAGTCAGTCGGGTCCCAGTGCATTTGTTTTCTTTTGGCCACATTTTTCTATTTTCCAGATGCTACTGTTACTCAAAATATCGTACATCTAATTGAAATAGTGTTTCCAGATTTAGCAAATAAAAATAATGGGTACCCAGTTACATCTGAATTTTAGATAAGTGTAGAACAACTTTTAGCATAAATGTTTCCTAAATATTACATATGACATACTTATATCACAGTATTACTCATCGTTTAGCAGAAATTCAGATGTAACTGGGCATCCTATATTTTAGCTGGCAACTTTAAATCAAAAGTTTGTTTTACTTTAAATTTAACCTCTAAGTAAGAAAGGTAGATGAGTTGGTATGCCTTTCCTGAATATGTCATATATTTCAGTCCTGATGAGATATTTCACCCACAAGAATCACAAAGATTTCTTTGGTGCCTAATGTATCCTAAATTGACCTCTGCTACTGCCTTGGCCTGCTCTTTATTTCCCCTGACTTTTCAGTGATGCAGTCCATTTGGTCCTTAGGCACTATACTGTTTTTAGCTTTTACCCATCCTCAGTTCAGTTACTAATTCCTAATCAGTCTCTCTCTTTGTCCTGCTCTTTCATATTCCTTTCTCCGTTCTTGGTTTTTCCTATCACCTTCTTTTTCTCTTTCATCCCATAATTGGGTGCTTTCTCATCTACCACAAATACCTCAAAAGTCTTCAACAACCCTGAAGAACTTGCCTTGACCTAGTGATGCTCTCATGTTCTAACCTATGCTTTTGCTACTTTATTTCTTGGGAAAAAAAATAGCCTGTAATTGCTGTTGCAATTTTTTCACTCCCACTCAATTCTCAGCTCATTGTGTTTCTTTTACCCATCACTCTGATGATTTTTTCATGGTGCTTTGTGGTATATTCACTTCCACGGTGGATACACCAGATGTTTTGCACTCCTTCCCCCCCACCCCAGAACATTTTCCTTTGTAGTTGTATTAAGTCTTATTATTCCAGTGATCAGTTCTGTGCAGATGATTCCAAAATAGATGTCTCTAAATTTGACATCTCTTCTAGATCCAGGTCTCCAAACTCACTAGACATCTCTGATTATTTCCAAACTCATAACGCTGAACATTGAGAGAAGCTACAATATAACTGTAATAAAAAGTTACAAGCACCATAATAAGAAGAGATAGTGTGCTATGAGAATTGTAACAGGCAGAGAGGACTTCTGAGATTATGTTTCCATTTTTCCTATTCCTAGAGTTCTGACTTAACCACTTAAATACTAAAGAATAAAGATAAAAACCATAGAGAAAAAATAATCTCTTGTAAGGGATAGAGGACAGTAGCAGTGAAGTCAATTAAGAGTCTCCTGCATCAAACCTCAAGGAGACAATGGTGGCCTAAGCATGGGTAGTAGCAATGGCTCGGGGTTGGTTTGTTCAGAAAATGGACTCTGCCTGTAGTTTTGTGGAGTTAACCTTCAGTGAGCTTATATGGAATAATAACATTGACATAATATAGATACTATGATGTCTTTTCAGTGATTTTTAAATAGAAGTATTTATTAGCTAGACCTTACATTGTATGAGAGTGGGAAGCTATGTGTTTAGAAATACTGTATATACTGAGATATATGCATGCTGGTTAAAATTTTTATTCTCTGGTCTTTAGAGATAGATGGTGTTTGGAGACCAGTTTTGCTGTATAATGATACAAAGAATCATTTAAACCTCACAAAATACTGATATTGGCATTTTAAGTTGATGTAAGCAAGGAAACATGCCTATCATTTCATGTACATCTGCTTGGTTTTCACCTGTAAAAAAATCAGTGAAACTGCCTATAGGGATTGTTATACTGCTGCTAGCCCCTTTGGGGAAAATTCTAGTTATAAAGAAGAATTATGCTGATAGTAAAGTGCTGAAGTGAAATTATAGTACATTTTTGCTGATTTTAAAAGAAAGAAATCTGTTACCCATTATAACCTCTAAACTCTAAATGCATTCTGCTGAAAACATTCATATGCAGAAATCTGAAAAACAAAATGAGTCATGATTAATCACCTTTCAGATGCAGAGTTTGATAAAAGAGCAATTATGCAATTCAGCAGTTTACAAGTGGAAGCTATTATAGAAAAAATATTTCAAGGAAAGATCTAGTGTATATTTTTTTATTTACTTATATAAGTATTTTATCTTTTGAGCTCTATTAAAATATGAACTCTTTCTGGCCAGGGATTCTTCTTTTATGATTAAATTACTCATATCAAGAGAATTCGTTGAGTTGTAAAAGATGTGAATGATGTGTTTGGTGTGAGGTAGAAGAACTCTTGCCTGCAAAGGACAAGATAAATGCATCTTTTCACATTTATTTGAAAGGTGTTTTCAAATAACTTTTGTTAGCATATGATATACTCATTAGCTCTGCACCCAAGAGGAATAAAGTTATGGGCATTTAGAATGTTTCTAAACTTAGACTCCCAATTCCTTCCATCCAGCCACACTGGCATCCATTTTTAAAGGTAAGATTTTTAAAAACTCCCTTCAGGAAATACTCATAATTGCCACAATATGCAAGAAAAACAAACTCAGGTAAGGGATAAGTATCAGTACAAGAAAGACTCATGCAGAAATTTTATTAAGCAAGGGGATGAGTGACCAAGAAATTACTCATAACAGAAAATGTTCAAGCAGAGAATGGCTGTTTGTCTTTCAGGAATATCGAATACTGGGGGTGAGAAATTTGGTAAAATTATCCCTGAGTTTCCTCTAAACTCTAATATTTCAGAAAAATTACTTAGGCTCTACAAGTCAAACTTATAAGTTAACTTTGGTTGAACAGTAATTCAAGTAAATTGGATGTTTTAGAATCATCTTCTGTTACAACCTCTTAGGGTCCCTTCCCACTGTGGGAGCTTGTCTGTCTTTTCAATAAATCCTGCTTTCTCAAAAAAAAAAAAAAAAAAGCATGTTCTGATGCAGGGATTTTGGGTGCATGTAACCTACTGATCAAGTGTCTTAATAAAAGCAGAGCGAGAAACAAGGAAGGAGGCCAACAAAGATGTCATCTCGCTGAGCTTAGCTTCATCTTGATCCCCTAGGAAGTTTGGGAGCAAAAATTGTGCTGTGGAGTTGCTCCCTCTGAGAAAGGGGTTTGTAGCTTGATAACCCCAGGTAATGTTTGTTGGTAATCTGCTGTGAGAGGGCATATGTCCCAGGTGAGATAGCTCTTGTGTAGATAACAGCAATTCTGGAGAAGGAGATAGCTGTGAACTAAGGGCAGTTAATACTCAGAGCAGCTGGGAAGTGGATGTGCTGGCCTTATCCATTAGGATATCAAAAGGATTATTCTGTATTAGAATAGAAAGTAGGAGCAGGAATGAACTGCTAGAGAGAACAGCACTGACACCATGACAGCAATACATGAAAACTGACCTGTGCATTTGAGGCTATGTAACATAGGGATGGATATTCTATATACAACTCCACAGCCTTAAAGTCATTATAGCACCTACCAGTAATGGTTGCTCATAATGCTGACATGGGGTCAACAAAAAAACTATATTTTATTAGAACATGCTATTGGAAAAACAGAGACCATTCACGTTTTTATAGTGTAATTCCCTATATTACTAGTCTCTGTAGTAATTTAGAAAATAAATAGTGTATTTGTGAAAGTTTTCCTAGTATAACTTTTAGAACATTCACCATAGGACCACCAGGTAGAAGCAAAAGAGGCTGTGCACTATAAAGTTTAAGTACTTTTGAACAACTCAGGTATTTCAGAGTCTCATAATTTGAGACTTAGGATATTAATGTGTCTCAGTTTACTTACAGGAAGGTTGGCAGGAAAGAAGGACTTTGTGGTTTGTTTCTGTTGAACAAATGGGCAATTGTAAGGCTGTGGCCCAAACTAGGTTGAAAATTGCATCATCCTCATTGTATTTTCAATAATTACTATCCTCTTGGCCCCCCTTACCTGTTATTCCATTAACACCTCATCAAGTTTCACCCTCCAGTGGTTATCCTCAGCCCCTCTATAGCTCATCAAGTATCGAAAGCTGCTTTTGATATGTCAGTGTTATCTAGAAACATTTTGATGTTTTTCTCTTTTTTAGTACCATAATGCTACCTTTGACTGGGCATTTTTGTCGAAGAAGGAATGTTTGAAATATGGAGGAAAGCTCGTGGGGAACAACTGTGATTTTGTTCCTGATATCACACTCATGTCTTTTATCCTCTTTTTGGGAACCTACACCTCTTCCATGGCTCTGAAAAAATTCAAAACTAGCCGTTATTTTCCAACTACAGTAAGTACCTAAACCATATATCTTTTTCATTGGATTTACACAGTATCAACAATAATACAACTTCACAAAATGAAGAAGGTACCTGTAAATTCAGCCAGTCCAGTATAATTTTATGCATTTTAAACATTACATTTCTTAGTTCATATGCATATTTATTTAACATAAATGTAGTCCAACTTTGGAAAAAACCTTTCAAGGATTTGCTCACATAATTTTGTCAAAAATTCTGTTGTAATTATGAATGTACTGAAAGGAAAAAGTAGGATGTAGTCTATCTACAAATGCCTAAGTGAAGAAAAAAAAACCCTTTAAATCCATAGTATTTAAGTATATAAGCAAAAAAGCTTTTCATATTAATTAGAAATTTTCATGTTTTAGAATTTCTTGATCATCAGCTGTACATATAAGTATTTTAGTACTTGAATTCTGGTCTGTGGGATTACACTTAAATTATGTTATTGCACAAGTGTTGGTCCAAGATATGACTCTCATCAGAGCCAGACTCTCTTTCCCATAATGATGAATGTCATAGTATGGACAAACAGATAATTAAACTGGGTTGTGCAGACACCCTGTCTCCCATTAATATGCTTGGGTGAAGTTAAAGTCAAAACTCTGGTTCATGGAGAGAATACAAGATAAGGCCAACATTTAGTGGGAGCATTTTGGGCCTTTTTTTTCCTGCAAAGTGAAACTAAGACAATCCTTTGCTTTACAGTTCAGTTATTAATGTTCAGGATGTTGGTATTTCTTAGGTAATCTTGATTACACCTGATTTATGTCAGTGACCTCTATACAACTGGCATCTCACAAAATATCTCTTCTTGTGTTTTGTGTAAAAGGAGTGGATGAACATTTGAAGATGAGATGTACTTGATGAAATTTCTTTGTCTAATTCCTAGGAACTGAAACTTAAAACAAATGTTTACTTTCACACAGGACATTTTTGACTCTCATTCTTCTTATAAAATTGAAAATAAAGGGAAGGGTTGATGATGAAATGTCAAAACTAGGTGGTCCAAGGAATGAAAATTTTCCACAAAGTGAAATATAGAAAGAAGCATTCTACTTAGTCTGCTTAACATGGACATTACAAACTGGTGGACCACGCAGAAGGAATTCAGCCCACAGCCATTCTTTGTCTAGTGTTTGGTGCATCCTGAACTTTGCAAGTAGTCATTGTCTTTGCAGGTCTCAGGTGTCTAAGACTTGGCTTTTTCACACAGATTAACTACCTGTTCCTAAACACATTTGAGATTGTGATCCCAGCTCACATACTGGGAAGGTGCTTATTTGAGCTACCTCTTTAAATGTATGCTTTGTGGAGAACAGATTCCTGGGTAAAGGTCTCTAAGGACAACTCTTTTCTCTATTGAGGTTTTTCCTTCTTAATTGTTAGTTTATTGGACATCTTGGTTTTTGTTTGTATTTTGGGTTTGCACTTTGCAAATCATCACCACCTGCCATTATCAGATATAGCTTAAGGCATAGCAGGTGGAAAAGTGGAAAATTTGGGAAGCACTGGTAAGTCATAATTTGTAAAATAAACTAGTTTCAACCTTAAGACGAATGAGTTTAAAATTTTTTTTTTGAGCTGGAGTCTCACTCTGTCACCCAGACTGGAGTGCAGTGGCCGCTCCCGGCCACCGCAGCCTCAACCTGCTGGGCTCCAGCGATGCTTCTGCCTCAGCCTTCTGAGTAGCTGGAATTACAGGCGCGCACTACCATGCCCGGCTGATTTTTTGATTTATTGTAGAGATGAGGTCTTGCTGCCCAGTTGGGTCTCGAACCCGCGGGCTCAGGCAATCCACTCACCTCAGCCTCTCCAGGCACGGGATTACAGGCTGAGCCACTGAGCCTGGCTGGTTTAAAATATTTTAACTTTGATTAAATAATAATTGTTTATTATATATTTATGGAGTATAAAGGTGATGATTTCATATATGTATAAATTGTGAAGTGATTAAATCAAGCTAACATATACATACTCTCACATACATATTATTTTTTTATGACGAAAGCATTTAAAATCTATTCTTTTAGCAATTTTGAAATACAAGACACATAATGTTAACTATAGTCATCATGCTGCACAGTGATCTCAAAAAATTATTCTTCTTGTCTAACTGAAACCTTGTACTCTTTGATCAACATCCTTCACCCCCTGACTCTGGTAACCATTCTACTCTCTACTTCTAAGAGTTTGACTTTTTTTTAGTTTCCACATACAAGTGAGACCACCGTGTAGTATTTGACATTCTGTACTTGGCTTATTTCACTTAACATAATGCCCTCCAGGTTCATCCACATTGTTGTAAATGACAGATTTTCCTTCTTTTTAAAGCTAAATAGTATTCCATTGGGTATGTAGGTCATATTTTCTTTATCTATCTGTTGACAGATGCTTAGGCTGATTCCATATTTGGTTATTGAAAATGATGCTGCAAAAAAATGGAGTGCAGATACCTTTTTGAGATAGTCATTTCACTTCCTTTATATATATATACACAGAAGTAGGATTGCTGGATCATATGGTAGTTCTTTTTTTAATTTTAGATTCAGGGGTACAAGTGCATGTTTGTTACATGGCCATATTTAGGCTTCAGGGAACTCATTCCCCAGATAGTGAACCCAGTGTACCCAATAAGTAACTTCTGAACCCTAAACCCCACCTCCTGTCTAGGTGTTCCAACTGTCTATATTTCTATCCTTATATCATTCAGCCCTCACATATGAGTGATAACATGGGGTGTTTTGTTTTCTATTTCTGAGTTATTTCACTTATGATGAAGTTGTTCACTTAGGATGATGTTCTTCAGCTCCATCTGTGTTGCTGTGAGGGACATGATTTTGTTCTTTCTTAAGGCTGCATAGTATTCCATGGTGTATATATACCACATTTTCTTTATCCAGACAATTGTTGATGGTCACGTAGATTGGTTCCATGACTTTGCTATTGTGAATAGTGCTTCAATGAACATAAGAGAGCAGGTATCCTTTTAATATAATGATTTCTTTTCCTTTGGGTAGATACCTAGTAGTGGAATTGCTGGATCAAATGGTAGTTCTATTTTTAGTCCTTTAAGAAATCTCCATACTGTTTTCTATAGAGGTTGAATTGGTTTACAATCCCACCAACAGTGCGTGAGCATTCCCTTTTCTCTGCAGCCAGGCCAACATCCATTTTTCTTTAACTTTTCATTAATAGCCATTCTGACTAGTATCAGAAGATATTCAGAATCTAAAAAGATATTAGCCTTTGGTTTGAAGCAACATTTGCAAATATTTTCTCCCATTCCATAGGTTTTCTCTTCACTCTGTTGATTATTTATTTTTGCTGCACAGATGCTTTTTAGTTTAATTAAGTCCCATTGTCTGTTTTTGTTTTTGTCACAATGCTTTTGAGGTCTTTGTTATGAATTCTTTGCCTAGGCCAGTGTCCAGAAAAGTTTTTCCTAGGTTTCCTCCTAGGAGTTATATGTTTTCAAGTCTTACATTTAAGTCATTAGTCCATCTTGAGTTAATTTTTATATGTGGTGAGAGGGAGGGTTTCAGTTTTGTTATTTGCGTATGGCTAGCCAATTTTCCCAACATACAGGGTGCCCTTTCTCCATTGTTTATTTCCGTCAGCTTTGTTGAAGATGAGTTAGTTGAAGATATGTGGCTTTAATTCTGGAATCTCAATTCTATTCCATTGATCTATCTCTCTATTTTTTGTACCAGTGCCATGCTGTTTTAATTACTATAGTCTTGTAGTATATTTGAAGTTCAGGCAATGTGATGCCTCCACATTTGTTCTTTTTACTTAAAATTGCTTTGGCTATTGGGCCTCCTTTTTGATTGCATATAAACTTTAGGATTGTTTTTTCTAGTTCTATAAAAATGATGTTGGTATTTTGATAAGGATTGCATTGAATCTATAGATTGCTTTGAGCAGTACAGTAATTTTAATGATATTGATTCTTTTGATCCATGAATGGGATGTTCTTCCACTTGTTTGTGTTTGTCTGCAATTTCTTTCATCAGTGTTTTGTAGTTCTCCTTGTAGAGAACTTTCATCACCTTGGTTAAATGTATTCCTCGGTATTTTATTATCTTTGGGGCTATTGTAAATAGGATTGAGCTCTTGATTTGCACCTCAGTCTATTTGTTGTTGTTGTATAGAAAAGCTACTAATTTTTGTACATTGAGTCTATATCCTGAAACTTTACTGAAGTTGTCTATCAGGTCTAGAATTGTCTTGGCAAAGTTTTTAGGATTTTCTAGGTAAATAATCACATCATCAGAGAACAGCAATAGTTTGACTTCCTCCTTGTCAATTTGGATGCCTTTTATTTCTTATTCTTTCCTGAGTATTCTGGCTAGAACTTCCAGTACAGTGATGAATATGAGTGGTGAGAGTGGACATTCTTTCTTGTTCTAGTGCTGAGGGAGAATGTTTTAAACTTTCCCATATTAACTATGATGTTGGCTGTGGGTTTGTTGTGTTTGACTCTTATTATTTTGTGATATGTTCCCTCAATGCCTAGTTTGTTGAGGATATTTATTATGAAAGAATGTTGGATTTTAACAGATGCATTTTCTTCATCTGTTAAAAGAGTTATATGGCTTTTGTTATTGATTCTGTTTACACAGTAAATCACATTTATCGATTGACAGGTATTGAATTATCCTTGCACCCCTGGAATAAAACCCACTTGATTATGATAGATTATTTTTTTGATGTGCTGTTGAATTTGGTTTGGTAGTATTTTGTTGGGAATTTTTGCATCTGTTTTCATCATGGATATTGGCTGGTAGTTTTTGTTATTGTTGTGTTTGGGAAGATTGGTACCAGCTCTTCTTTGTATATATGGTAAATTTTGGCTGTGAATCCATCTGACCTTGGAATTTTTTTTACTATTGGTTTAATTTCATTGCTCAGTTTTAGTCTATTCAGGATTTTTTTTTATTCCTGCTTTAGTCTTTGGAGGTTCGAAGTTTCTAGAAATATATTCATT